CATAAGGGATCAGATAGGACTGGAGGGGGAGAGTATTGAAAGAGATGACAGGAAAGGGGTGCATTTCAGGGTGGAGTAGAAACCCAATCCAATGGAAACATCCTGGAATCTACAAGGGCAACCCCAGCTAAGACTCTTAGCAATAGGGGATATGTAGACTGAACTGACCATCTCCTGCAACCAGGCAAGACTTCCAGTGGAGGGATTGAACATCAACCCAGCCACATAACCTTCGACCTACAATCTGCCCTGCCTACAAGATGTGCTGGGGTAAAAATGGAGCATAAATTGTGCAAGTAGCCAACCAATGACTGGTCCAGCATAAGACCCATGACACCAGAAGCCTACCATTGACACTGCCTGTAGTGCCAGGAAACAGAGGCTGGATAGTCCAGAAACCTAGGATAGAACCAAACACTAATGGCAAAAAAGTCGATGTAATGATGCCTAATGATAGTCTGCTATGCTCACAGACTGGTATCTAGCCCAATTGTCATAAGAGAGACTTCATCCAGCAACTGATGGAAACAGATACAGAGACCCACAGCCAAACATTAGGCAGAGCTTGGGGAATCCTGTGGGAGCGGGGAAGAAAGGATTGTAGGAGCCAGAAAGGTCAAGGGCTCATAAAAAAAATAAAATAAAGAAAAAATAAAAAAAATAAAAAACCAGAACCAACTAACCCGGAGCCTGCATATGTATTACAGTTGTGTGGCTTGGTCCTCTTGTGTGACTCCCAATAGTGGAAACAGGGCCTGTCTCTGACTCTTTTACTGGATTTTGGGACCCTACTCCTCATACTGGGTTGCCTTGTCCAGCCTTAACACAAGGAGAGGTACCTAGTCTTACAGCAACTTGCTATACCATGTTTGGCTGATATCCATGGGAGGCCTGCCCTTTTCTGAAGGGAAATGGAGGAATAGCGGATCTGAGGGTGAGGGTAGGTTGGGGGAAGCTGAGAGGAAAGGAGGCAGAGGAAAATTTGATCAGAATGTAAATAATAGTAATTATATCACTTAAAAATAAATATATTTTTTCTATGTAAAAATAAAGAATCTATTTATAGAACATGGTGCCTGTGGATGTTGAATTCTGCATTGTGTGAAACATTTGAAACAAGCATCTATGGGTTAGGTGTGCTGACACAGGCCTTTAATCCCAACACTAAGGAGGCAGAAGATCTCTGTGAGTTCAAGGCCAGCCTGGTCTACACATAGAGTTCCAGGGTAGCCTGGGCTACAGACACCCTGTCTCTAAAAAAAATAGTAATAACAAAAACAAGAATTTTGTGGATATTTTCTGCATACCAGAGTCAGCCACATGTTCCTTTATGCCCTTTTAATGAATTGACATATTCACATGTAATTAGCTAATGGATATCAGCATTCTTGTCATGTGAAGGAGGTAGTGGGTTGCCCAAGGTGAAAACAGCACAGCAATGGCCTTTGTGTTGTGTCTAGTTTCTTTTTCTTTGCAATGTTGATGTATCACAAAGAGAGTTGTGGTGTCATTCTCTATTATTCTACCTTGTTCCCGTAATTAAACAGAACCAATGGCAACGGGCCCTCTTTGCCCCTCTTAGATCAGGGCTTTTATCAAAATTGCCTTGGGTATCCAGAATATGTGAGGTCTTTACCTATGACTCAAGTTCCCAAAGAGGCCAAATCCTAAACAGTCATGTGTCTGTCACTTAAGGACAGGGATAGGTCCTGAAAATGTGTCATTTATGGGTTGCATCTCTATGTGAACAACATCCATGTTTATACAGAGACCTATGAGGATTATGCCGCCACCTAAAAAGAAAACTGATGGAACAATTGCATGACAGATGCACATAACCCAAATAGTAGAAATGATTGACTGATCAACTAAATGATAAGATAAATGCACATGATCCAAATGGCTGAATAATATATGATTGATTGCTTTGTGTGACAGCCAAATTGTTGATATACAGATGAAGTAGACATGCTTGCATAAGCTTACATGGTGCAGCCTACTACATACCCTTGACAAAAAGTACAAAAATTGCTATTGATTCATGGCTTAGATAATAACATAAGATTGGTGATTATGATGAAGAGGGAGTGAATGGATGGAAGGACAGTCAGTCAAACAGACTGACCAATAGTATACCTATTGCTATGTGGTCCACAACAAACAGAACAACACAATATTACATTTAACACAAGAGGAACTGATGCAATCAAAAGATGCAATAAGTAGGAGATGTATGAGGTTTATGAGGAGATTCATTCTAAAATTATGATAAGCAGTATGGTAGACACATAATCCAACAACTCAGTAGTCAGGAACTATAATTTTATATACTGTGCACTTTTATGGTAGTTTAGTTTATGGCATCATCACAGGCCTGAGGAAAACATTTTGCTACAATATCTTGTGGAAATCAAGTGAACCTGCACAAAAAAGTGATATAATCTTAGGGATTATAATCATATAGGAGGTTATCACTGACCAAAACCTATGAGACTTTTGGCTCATACAGGTCTTAACTGGTAATTTAAGACTAGATTTTGAAAATTCTGGAGGTGCACGCTTGTAATTGCAGCACTCGGGAGGCTAAGGTAGGAGGATCCTGACTTCATGACCAGCTTGAGGTACAGAATAAGACCCTGCCTCAGGGTTGGAGAGATGGCTCAAGAGGTTAAGAACTCAGAGGTCCTGAGTTCAATTCCTAGCAACCACATGGTGGCTCAAAACAACCAGTAACTCCAGTTTCAGAGGATCTGATGCCCTCTGCTAACCTCCAAAGGCACCAAGCACACATGTGGTAAAAGGATATACATGTGGACAAAACAGTCACACAGACACACACACACACACAGACACAGACACAGACACAGACACAGACACACAGACACACAGACACACACACACACACACACACACACACACACAAATTAAAAAAAATAGCCTGTAATTATCTGTAACTCCAATCCCAGAGGATCCAATACCCATTTCTGACCTCTGTGGCCACCAGGTATAGATATCCAATGTAGGCAAAGCACTCATACAAGACAATTCTTTTTTAAGTGTATGTCACTGTGTCATTTATTTGTCTACTCCTTCAGTGATCTGGGATCAACACACCTGATGTCTATGCCTCTGTCTATAGGGCCTAATTCTGTCTGGCAATTGGCTACAAGGTATCCTCTCACCACAACCATGTCTCAGCTTACACGGGGAAAGCTCCAGTCCATGAGGGTCAGGTGGGTAATTGGGAAGCATTGTCTTGACTGGATAGTCAGAGCAATAAGGGATCTTGTGAGCCTTGGAACCCAATTCACCAATGCCTGTCAAAGGAAAACATGAGGATGGAGATATCTTGGGTTGGGGGGGGGGGGCTCTGCAGAACAGGTTGGAGGTATACCAGACCAAACCAGCTGAAATAAATTGGCAGGGCTGGCCCCATGAAGACAACAGACAGCAATGAGTGCTGTTCACATTCTCATACTGGACATTAGACCCACCCCTAGAAGCACAGCCAGTGTTACCCCTCAAAACAGCCCTGTCTGCTGCCAATGTCTTCTGCAGAGGTACCTCGAAAGCCCACCTCAGAAGCACTAGCTAGCACCTCAAGAATGTGGAGATACCTGAGATTGGTTCTGTTTACATGTGTCTAGCCACAGTGGAGGCTGGAACACCAAATAGTTACCTCTGTCCTTTTAGAATGATGTGGGAGAGAATACCCATACAGAAGAGGTTCCTGATGCTGGAGTACGGAGTCAGACATTTTAGTTTCCCCCTAGGAGATCTCTCTTTGGCATTTCCTCCAGAACACTGAGCAAGGTGAGTGTGGTCTCTCATGGAAGATGCATCATTACCCAGAAATCACTAGGTAACAGCTACCAGCACCAGGGTCACAATGTGCTGGGAAACTACCTACACGTTTGTGACCCCAAAAGGATAAATGCCAAAGTTTCACCATCTTTTGAGACTGCAAAGGGGGCCTAATATAGACAGTGTTGGAGATGCTACATGGCAGAACTGTCTGTGATGTGCTGCGAAAGTATATGTTGCTTTTCTATATACATTCTGGAGTGGTTTGTACCCCTAGTGCATGCTGCAACATTTCTGCAAAGAACAAAAGAGAAATCATGTGGACTTGTGTGTGTGTGTGTGTTGTCTGCATACAGATAGACAGATTATTAGATTTTTCCAGATAGATGGATGGCTATATTTTTCATCTTGTTTTTTGTTTGTTTCCTGGTTTGTTGTTTGGTTGGTTGTTTTGCTTTTGTTTTTTTGTTTTTGCGATAAGGTCTTAGTAGCCCAAGGCTGGCCTTAAACTCCCTAGGTGGTTCAGGATATCTGTGAATTCGAGGCAATACTCCTGTATCAACTTTTCTAGTGTTACATGCATGAATCACTGTGCCCAGCTACATTATCATCTTAACTGAGGAAAAGAGGGGCACACAGCAATTATCATACCTCTAGGGAGTCCTTAGGCTATGTCCCTACTTGACATAGCATAGGAGGGACAGCTATATTGAAGATGTGATGCACTCCTATCCTAGTGGGATGAGAGAAAGACTTGCTTAATGCCTCCCAGTGCTTCACTCCCAGTCTGTCTCCTGCACCATCCAAACCTTCCAAGAGACCACTGGCTAGAGATTGTTTGGACAGAATCTATGTCAAAATGGAGTTAGTCACAAAGACTTTATTTAACTACTTTCTCAAGGACATGGAGCTGGCACTTAGCATTACAGCTGGCCTCAGAAAATGTCCAAATGGTAATTAAGAGCCAAGAGGTGACACTGAACGTTCTAGAAGGAACTTTCTATTTCCAAGCTCTGGTGTTTTGTTTGTCCTAGCATAGAGTGCATCTTCGGTGAATTCCACTGTGGTGAACAGAATGGGATTTGGAGGATGCTACATTGTGGCAGCACCGTGACAGGAAGGGAGGCAGCAATACAATTCAAAATGAAGAGATATAGAGCCTGAAATGTAGGGGTGTCTGACCCCATCCCATCCCCTCAGAGGTCCCCCTTGGCTTGGGAAATGGAGTCAACTTCCTTTATGTTGCGGGACCCAGTATGGATTTCAACGGTGCTGGCATCAGAACCTGCAGAGGAAAAGAGCAGGCTGTGTTAGAGCTGAGGTCCTAGAAAGCTTTGTCTTGTTTTGTTGGCACAGGGTCACATGTAGACCAGGCTGGCCTCAAACTTGATATGTAGTGAAGAATAACCTTGAACTTACAATTCCCCTGCTTCCCCTTCCAAAGTGCTAGAATAACAGATGCGTACCATCATATTAATTTTATATAGTGCTTGGGACCGAACCCAGGACCTCATGCTAGCTAGCCAAGCAGTCTACTAACTAACCAATATTGCCAGTCCCCTAGAAGGCCTTCCTTCAACTTCAGAAAATGTTGGTAGTAGTCAACAACAAAATGAGATTCTTGTCTTTCTTTTTCTTTAGAGAAGAAAAGAAGGGAGGGAGGGAAGGAAGGAGGAAGGGGGAAGACAAGCAAAAAGAAAGAAAAAGAAAAAGAAAAAGAAAGAAAGAAAGAAAGAAAGAAAGAAAGAAAGAAAGAAAGAAAGACAAATCTTAGCATCTAAGGTCTAGGTCTAGAGGTGTACACCTTTAATCCCAGCACTGGGGAGGGTAGAAGCAGGCAGATCTCTGAGTTCGAGGCCAGCCTGGTCAACATAGCAAGCTCCAGGACAGCCAGAACTACATAGATAATCTCTGTCTCAGAAAATAATTACCATGTATATTGCCTGTGTGTGTGTGTGTGTGTGTGTGTGTGTGTGTGTGAAAACGGAGGAAAATAACCCTCTATATCATCTCTTACCACATTTAATCTATTCATTAAGAGAAAATATGGAATGAATCCTAAAGAGTCATTTCAGGCAGCTGACACATGGTTCCTGAGGAAATGTGGCAGTTGAATTAAGGTGGCCCTAGAGCCCTGGATGTGTCCTGTGGGATGTACAAACAAAGGACAGAGTCCATCCACAGGAAACTGTGACATAGACAGTGAATCCTACTGCCTAGCTACCTGCACTCAGCTCCAGGAAGCCCCAGAGGAAAGGAATCTACGCCCTTTGTAAAACTCCCTCTTGTCCTCACATACAGTGCCACCAGCCTTCAGCTTGCAATTCCTGTCCTTCAGTACCTGGATGTACCCAAAACAAACTCTCCACCTTTAAAGGACTGGAATTTAAACACACATTAAGACCCAAATACAACAGCACATGCCTGATAATGCTTTGCCAAGCCAGTTTCTTTGTTCTGATCATAAACTGGGGCCCTAGATGCAATGACTAAGTGACAAATGATGCTTCTCATATGGCATAATGCACACATCCAAATAAGCTCCAAGTTATTTGGTATTCATTTCATGAGAAGGTGAAGGTGACATTTCTCGCTGGCTTTCATGTCTGGTACCTGTAAGAGTGTAAGCATGAGCTCACGTGAGAGCAAACTAGCTGTATTTGGCTTCTAAGAGCTCTTGCTAGATTTTCTTCAGAATAATGCATTTTGTAGCTGATGACATTCTTTCTACAGTTTCCAGCTACGAGGCTCAAAGATAAACAAATCATACACTTTAAAAGTAGCCTCATGGGTTCATTTCATCTGGCTTTCCTTGGATCTCAGCATTGTTCTCTGGTCTGTTCTATTTTCTTACTAGTCAATTTTTCCTTTGTTTTAGAATATGACATGGCTTACAGACAGCAGTCCCAAAAGAGTAAAAATGGTGGGGAAGTGAGCTCAATAAGCAAGATAAAATGAAACATTCTCATCAAAGGTCACCCTGCAGGTCTACTTAATCATTTGACTAGCACTCCTTCCTTCCGGATTGTAAAATCCTTTGGAATAAACAGCAGACTTTTTCTTTTGCTCCCAAAATACCCAGGAGCACTGGCTGTAAGCCAGGATATAAACTGGGCATGGAGAATTCAAAGACAGAAGTCATGAAGCCAAGAGGACTTTCCCAGTATGCATGGGACAAGTGACTGCCTTCCAGTCTCGGAGCTTCATCAATGGACCTTGCTGACATTTTCAGCCTCAGCTGTCACTCCTATCAACACTCTGGCATACTAATAATCTACCTATCCCTCCCCTCCTCCTAAAGCATGTGCCTGCAAAGCATCTCTCAATTTTCTCATGACTCTCTCTTGTATTTTATCTGAGGTCTCAATTCAAATGTTACCTCATCCATAGAGAAACTTCTGGGTTACCCTATCAAAAACCAGTCCCCCACCTCCAGTCCCCCACCTCTTGCCCCGACTAGTGGTTCCCATTCTTTTTTTATTTCCTGTGGCTTTATTAAATCATAAACAATATTTCTTCACAGATGACCCTAATTTTACACACACACACACACACACACACACACACACACACACACACACACACACACACAAAGTTATGAATATGGAAAATACAGTTTTAAGTAAGAAGTGGAGTTGGCAAGGGTGGAAGGGAAAGAAGAGAGGGTGGGAGAGGGTAGTAACCAGAGGTGTTATGAGTATGTATGATGGTTCCCATTCTTAACAAACTGGGCAATGAACTCAGAGTCTTGTACATGTTAAGCAAGCTCTTTGCATCTAAGTTATATCCCCTGCACCCTGATTAGTTCTGATTCATAGTATTTCTCACTACTTGGATATCACATTACATAATTACTGTTGATTTCCGTAGTTGTTTTCTTTCTTCCACTAGACATACTGAGTGGATATAGTTGGGTCAATGCCTCAACAGTAGTGAGATGAGCCCTTGAAAGCTGGAACCGCATTAAGACTGATGATCTAAGGAGAGCAGAAAGAATAACAATTCGAACAGAGGCAAGCACCATACTGTAGGATTACTCTGATGCACAGTGGCCTGTTGGGGAAAACAGCAGCCAAAGCTTCCCCAGGGGCAGATACAGATGAACCTGAGAGGCTACGGGAGTGAAGAAGACAGAGCAAATGTGATCCCCTCAGGGAATCTAGAGAAGGGAACAGAGGAATAATGTTTGGCCATAAACCTTACAGTCAGGCCCTGACTTGAGTGTGGGTGCCATGGAGGAAATGGAGGAAAACTATCTGGCTAGAGTGGCCAGGCACCAGCTGGGAAGGCTTTTATGAGCTTCCAAATAGCACTGCTGCAGGAGGAGCTGACTGAAGGCACTTGAAAAAGATTTGGTTCTCACAGGGTCACCCTGGTTATGAACTCATCTCGGGTGCATGAGAACTCATGTGGGATTTTTGTGGTCTTGTTCAAAAAGACCCAGCTGGGTATCATAAGGTGGCTTGTGATCAAGGTCTTTGCTGAGGATACTCCCCCATGACCTCACACTGGAGGACAAACTCTGAGTCCCACGGCTTTGTATAGTGTCCAGTCTTTCACTCCCTACCCCCATCTCCATGGGGAACAGTGATGCACAAGAACTTTCTCAAAGCCAAAGCTGCAGGAATAAAGAAAGCCACGTGAACCTAGCTCCATCTGCCTTAAGCTGTGGACTCTAACAAGTCTGGCTGGTCTTAGGGATTCTCCTACAGGTCTCCTATATGAAGAGATGGTATTGACAAAACAAGACTCTGGAGACAGCTCAGCATGGCTGCTAGGGTATTGACTAGTTCCCTATTCACACAAAGTCTGCTGGCATCAGATGACTATGACCTCATGATATCAAAAAACCAACACCCAGCAATGGTGTTCTGCATCATCGCAGGCTCAGAGCAATGAGAATAAGCAATGGTGGACACAGTTCTTTCTATAATGCAATATTATTTCCAGAAACCTCTAAAACTTGACCAAATTAAACCTTTCCTCTTAAGAATTGTTTGCCTCGGAATTTTTGTTACTGCACAGAGAAATAACTCAAACATCGCTAGCCCGTACAGGACAATAGCAACCAAAAAGATGTGGAATCTGTTAAAATGCACTACAGTAGGCTAAGAAGCAAAACACTTAAGTGACTTAACTCCAGCATACCAGCCCTCTTTGTTCTTTGAAGATCCATGTATACAATTTCCCCCACAGAGTCACCATACAAAAAGCTGGTGACTTTATCTTAGGAGTCATTTTAATTTTGCTATTTTTAGTGTCAGCAAGTGTAAAGTTAAAACCTTCACTGCACTCCCATTACATACTCTTCCAGGAAATGTTTTTGGTTAATTTTTCCAACTTACTCTGTGCTTGAAGAATGCCTCACAAAGCTTATCTGACCCAGCAGAGAATCAATACATCACTGTGGGTTCTAAACGGACAGCTGTCTTTTATTCCTTTTCTTTTAATTAATTAATTGGACAAGTTCCATTGTTGTCATTTTCTTCTGTATATTGATAGTGCTGGCGATGGAACCCGGGGCCTTGCACATGCTAGGCAAATGCTCTATTATTTAGCTACACCTCCATCCTGATAACTGTTATTTTTACAGACATGTTTTGCTTGTATTTGCTTTCCTTTTCCTCCAATTTTTCTCAAATCAATGTGTTCAGTGACTGTTCTATTAATTCAGGAAAATAATAATTTTAACTGTTTTATATTTGTCCAATAAACTATGAGGGCAGTGTTTATGGTCACTGCTGCAAACCCATGACACCGTTCCTAATACACAGCCTGGTGGAGTTCTTTACAGTCAACAGTAGTTGCCAAAAATTAAAAAAAAAAAATCCCAAAATGAGTATTTCCATACTGTGAAACATTACTCAACTATAAAAGAACTGTGTGCTGATCTTTTCTACAGGGTGAAACTTCAAGATTTTAGGCTAAGAAGTCAGACAGGAAGGGACAAATATTGATGTAATGGATTTATGGGAAATGCACAGAATATTCATATACATAGAATAATTAGTGGCTTCCAGGAATGGAGAGAGTAGAAGATGTAGCTCAGTTGGTAAAGTGATTGACTAGCATACATAAAGCCCCAGATTCAATCCCAGCACCATCTAAACTGGATGTGGTGGGGTACTCTCCTAATCTCAGCACTCAAGGTAGAGACAGAACAATCAGGAAAAGTCGGCATCAGCTTCACAGTGAGCTTGCAGTCACCTTGTGATGCATGAGACCCAGTCTCAAAAAAGTGTGTGTAGGGCATGTTCCTAGCCTCCCAGAGATAAGCACATTCTGATTTAGATAGTGGGAATGGCTACACAACTTCATGAATATAGTAAAGTGCACTTAGCCCTTTAAAGGATAAATTCTATGATATTTAGGTTATGTATCACAATGGACTTTCCTTTATCAGGACCATAGAGGGGTTCTAGTCTTCCTTAATATGCCAGAACCTCTTTCTTTGCTTTGAAAGGAGTTGAGATGGGACTTGGGGGTGCGGTCCTGTAGAGTACCAATAATCTGGCATTGATAACACATGGGGTTCCATTCAAAGCACTACAAAAAAAGAAAAAAACATCAACAAAAAGGGATCCTTAAGACAGCATCCATTATGAACAATGGTCCTGTTTATTTTCCTGTTGGACCTTTGAACATTTTAAAAGACTTGGAAAGCTTTAGGCCTATGAGCAACAGTCCTAGGCAATCGCTAGATGGAAGGAACAGGAACAAGGAGGACCTTGTTAATTCTCTTTGAGGTGGGAGAGGTAGGGAGCAGGGACCAGATGTAGTGGTCCTCATTGTTATTGGAGAATTTTATTACAGTGTCAAAAATGGCTCAGTGGTTTTGAGCCATCAGGATGGGAATTCAAACACACACAAGTAATTCTAGATGCAACTTTTTGCCTCCTGCTCTCAGTTTTATCAGTAACTTGGCATGCTGACAGCAGTTTCAATGTGTATGTCTCTTCATGAACTACTGGAGCTATATCAGAACCCTATAGTCTGGGATGTGACTGAGGTTGCAGCAAATAGCCCAGGAGGGATGAGACCCTGGGTTCCATTCCAGCACACACAGAAAAAGAAAATGAAAGTCCCTAAATACAAGGTTTTTCCATGTTGTAGGTCCAGCCAGGACTTCTCTGTTTCCTCTAGAGCTCCCCAATACACCATACAATACCACCTCAGGCATTCAGGTCTACATGCTTTCTCGTCAGTTGTCCCAAGAATGAACCTCCTTCCACAAATTTGAATAGCAGGAAAGGAAAAAAAGATAGAACTCCTCCAGCCAATTCCACATATCTTTCGTCAAAATACTCCTCCCTCTAGTCTGATATAAACCAAAGTAGTTAGGTGGGGCTCTGTGTTGTCTTTGGGTGTGTGTGTGTGTGTGTGTGTGTGTGTGTGTGTGTGTGTGTGTGTGTGCATGTATGTGTATGCACCTCAGACAACATGTTCAAAAATGCAGGTTTCTTTAAGCTTTTGCAAAGGAGACATTTTCTGACCCAGGGGACACTATGCCCACAAAAGACATTTGTTGATTCGTAAAGAGTTTTTATTGTCACACTCTAGTGAGCTTAGATCAGAGAAACTGCTAAACACTCCAAAACGCATAGCACAGCCTGCAGAATGTAGAAGCAGCTAGCCAAGAATAAGGGGTGCTGCTCTGGAAACAGTATGTGATAAGGAGTCTAGCATTTAAATCACTGTTTCTACCCATTCTCTATGCACCAGCTGAGAATGGGCAGGATTGTTCTGATGTGCCTGAGTAGATTTGTTGTTTACATTTATTTGTATTTATGTGCACCTATGAGTACATATGTTTAAGTGCCCAACCAGAACAGAAGAAGCCATGAGGTCCTCTGGACCTGGAATTAGGGGTGACTGTGGATAACTCAATGTGGGTGCGGGAACTAAGCCCCTGAGTGTTTTTAAAACTCTCTCCTTAGATTCCAGGAAATTATAGCAGCCGATTAGCTGGCCATGGGGGTATATTCCTATAATACCAATCAAACAGCTGAGGCAGGAAGATTGAATGTTAGAGACTAACTTTTGTTTCATAGTAAGATTCTGTTCTAAAAATAAATGAGGGACTGGAGAACTGGCCTAGAGGTTATGAACACTGGCTGTTCTAGAAGAATCATGTTCAATTCCCAGCATCCACATAGCAACTTACAACCACCTGTAACTCCAGTTCCAGGGGGAACTGACTCCATATTTTGGTTTCCATGGGCACTGACGTCCATACACATGAAACAGATTTCTAAAAGGGGGTGGATAAATAAATAAACATGAAAAGAAGTGGAAGAGGAAATGCAAAAGCATAGTGACATATAGGTTCCCATCTGTACCTCCCTACTTAATGAAGGACTGCCAGGGAGCTCTGGGGGCCCTGCAGTTCACCTCTTTTGCCAACAGGGCATTACCTTCAGACAGAATGCTCAGCACCTCATCAGAAGTGTGCCCCCCAAGACACACCACCTTCCTGGAGTTTTCATGGGACATACAGGAGCCCACAGGGGACTGGTATGTGGCCTCAGCAGCTGAGGCAATCATTGCTTCCCACTGAATCACCATCTTAGGAGGATGGACATCCAGGTTGCATCCTGTCCAGCCATAGAAGGCAAGAGACAATAGAAGTCCTTGAGCTGGATTCAGTATTCCCTGGGAAGAAGAGCAAAACGATAATTGGGGGTCAAAGGAAAAGTGACAACTTTGGCCACCATAATGATAAGTCCCATCCTGGCATGCCCAGTGGGCTGGTCTTCCTCTGAAACACCCATACACATAAAATTATCTAATTTAAAAGCAAACGAAAAGGAGTAACAGTTTGATACTCTAAATTAACTTCAAATGTTCATATTCTAGGCCAGAGTGACTTAACAGAGATTGTCTCATTTTTAGTCGTTCCTTTATCCTTTCACTTACTCACTCAATCATTTTGCAGTGCTGAAGAGCAAATATAGAACCCTTTGAATGCTAGGTTCTGCCACCAGGCCACATCCCAGCTCCGAGCCTACTCAATAATATAATGACTGAATCTAGCTTCGCAGTGCACCAGGATGGTGGAGTTAATCCAAAAATCTTGCACTGACTATATATTCATACATTGCACTTTGAATTTTTCATATTGATTTTCTTTTTTACAAGAAGAAAAAATAAATCTAGATTTGCCTACCATAATAAACCATGTGGTCCTGGCTGCATTCTGGATGCGTTTCAGGGAGCCTCCATGCATGTCTGGTTTCATTTCAAGGTAGAACAAAAGACTTTCATTGATGATATTGGACAACCAACTGATGGAAAGAAAATGGTCCACAGGTAAAGAAAGCACTCAGTGAAATTCATTGTGACTTTCACCATGGTCTATATGTACCAGTTTTTGGTAGCAACTTAACCACTTTTGTGAGAAGGAATTGAATTACTATCAAGAATTACTACACAAATTATTCTCTTGATCTAACACAGACCTCGAAGAGTCCTCCTGATAGAAACATTACACATCAAGGTGTATAAAGCCTAACCCTGTATCAAACCAGAAATCATTCTCTATAAGAGAGGTAACCTGGGGGGGGGTTGTAGGGTCGGTGGGGAGCATGGGAGGAAGGAAGAGCGAGGAAATGGAGGGATGAACATGTAAATAAGAGTGCTTCTAAAATAAATTTTAAAAAGGTTAAAAAAGAGGTAACCTAAAGACTTTCTTTACTTCTTTCTTTCCTTTCTTTCTTTATTTCCTTCCTTCCTTCTTTCTCTTTCTTTCTTTCTTTCTTTCTTTCTTCATTGATAAGTAACCTAAACTTTTGATGGAAGACCAAAATGCTATTTTGATATTTTATGTGGAATTTTGTGCACCGGAGAGATAGTACATGCATGCTTGGGGAGAGGGAGTCAGAGGACATCTCTAGGAGTCAGTTCTCTCCTGCCACCTTGTGGGAAGGATTAGGAGGTATGGCCTTGTTGGAAGAGGAGTGTCACTGGTAGTGAGCCCTGAAATTTCAAAAGGCCACAGTGTTCCCAGTGAGACTTTGCTTCCCTTTTGTGGATTGAAATGTGAACTCTGAGCTACTGTTCCAATGTCATGCCCACATGCCTGCCTGCTACCGTGCTCCCTGTTATGATGGAAAAGAACTCTTATCCTTCTGGAACTGTAAGCCCCAAGTAAACTTTTGTTTCTATAAATTGCCATTGTCACGAAGTTTTATCACAGCAGTAGACAAATACTTAATACAAGTCCTTATGTAGATTTTTAAAATTTCAATCTAGGTGGGTTCCTGAAATGTGAAATAACAAGGTGAATATATGACAAGCAGTGGATAATTTAAGCCTCTCCTAGGAGGGCATTTAAAGAAATATCCTCATGCCAGGGAAATTAATGCCACAAAGAGTTGCCATGTTCTGTATGGTACTGATTCATTACTGTTTGGATAGCAATCTTTTTACATGAGCTTTCTTTTTTGCATGTTTTCACAACATCAGCCACAAACATTTGTGCAATGGCAGGCACAAAGGGGGATAGTGGCTCAGTTTCTTCTCTATCCTCCAGTGAGCTGAAGATGTGCCCTGGCCCTTTTCCTAAAGACACAGGTATTGTGGGGACAAGAGTAAGACGGATGGGCACACTCGTGAAACATGGCCAGGGCATAGGAAGATGATTCATCAGTCAAAAGCACTTGTTCGTGAGGAGGATGTTCCTAGCACCACAAGGTAGTTCACAAATTTCTGTACCTGCTGAGCGCAGTGGCACATATCTTTAATCCCAGGACTCCAGAGGCAAGCATATTTCTGTGAGTTCCAGGCTAACCAGGCCAACTTCATGAAACCCTGTTCCCGTCTTTTAAAAAATTGTAACTCCAGGGGCATCTGGGCATCCTCTTCCAATTTCAATGGGCACCAAACACACACATAGCAATACACTTCCACACAAGCAAAATACTCTTATACATAAAATAAAAGGCATGACTATCCCTTTATTTTGGTTAGCCTGGCAATGAGACAAAATACCAGGTGCATATGGCTTAAATATTTGAAAAGTGAACACATAGCTGGGCATGGCAGTACATACCTGTAACCCCCACCGCCTGTAAAACAGGCAGGGGAATCACTGCAAATTCAAGGTTACCTGGGTCTACAGAACAAGTTCTGGGTCAGCCAGGGGTATATATTGAGGCATTCTCTCAAAACAATAACAAAATAGAAAGAGAGAAGTGAGGAGAAAAGAAAAGAAAAACTGGCTGACTGTCTTTAAAAAAGAAAAAGAAAACAAAAATTTGAATACTTAGCTTCTTAGTTTCAGGATTTGATACATAACTGCCATAAAGGTTTTACAAAAATATATGAGTTCTGGACTTGCTGACATATGTTTTATTCATTCCTTTAGGGAATACCTTCCATTGTCTCAGAGACTTCCCTTCCAGATTCTTTCCTTTGGAACACTCAAGTCACATTTGGAAAAGTAAAATGACAAGTTAGCATATCCTTCCCACTAGCACAACCAACAACAAAAATACTAGAAGAAAGGTTACCATGCAATTAACACCAGCATTATTTTGAAAAATCGGGTCTTGATCACAGCTCCCATGAGTCTCTCATTCTCTGTGTAAACACCTTTTCTTCCTTTCAGTAAAGAGGCCACTGTAGGAGTGTAGGGGAATGTCAGACAACATTCATGATTTACATTAACTCCATAACAGAGAAAAAATCAAAGCAGATATGAACTCTTCCACATTGCCAGAAGGGCATGAGGCAATGCCCATTACCAATAGTCATTGCAGTGTTGCACTTGAAGTCCTCATAGACACCAAGGCATACATACATATACACACATACATGTATTTGTACACACATATACACACATACATAGAAACTTACACTTTGAAATAACTTTTTATCTGTGTGATACTGGCAATGAAACCTGGGCCTCATGCATGCTAGGCAAGTGCTCTACCACTGAGCTCTAGTTCAGCTTAACTTACTGAGCCCAGAAAATTGCTGCATATCTGTAGCTTCTCCTAGCTTCTCCCAGTGTTACAATCATAAACAAATGCAGGACTTTTGTCACAACTGAGAATTAACGCTGATCATTTATTAACTGAACTCTTGTTTTTATATTTTATTACTAATTCAATCAAGTACTGTGTGTTTACAGGCTTGCTTATCCATTCTAAAATAATATACACTTACTGTTTTAGAATATTGAAAACTTAACAACTCTCCTTACAGACAAGATAGAATGTATGTTTAGAGAAGAATTAATGACCCATGATGCCTCTACACAGTTATAACCACCGGAGCATTACAGTGTTTGGCCAAGGCATTTCCACTGCTTTGACAAAAACCACCACTACTTGCATGTAATTTTTAAAACAAAAGTCCTATATTTAAATGCAGATCAGAAAAAAATCATCCAAAGACAATAAATCCCTATCAATAATAACAGACTTTAAATTTTTTAATTCTAGAAACAAGGTATGGAAAGACGTGTCAGTGGTTAAAGAACTTCCTGCTCTTGCAGAATACTGAAGTTTGGTTCCCAGCAAACACAGGACAGCTCACAACCATATGTAACTTCAGTTGCAGGGAATCTGATGCCCTCTTTTGGCCTCTATATGCATGCAATGCACATAAACTCGGGTTAGGCACACACACACACACATAAATATAATAAATAAATAAGTAAATAAATAAATGTTTTTCAGTTCAACCAACTGTTAATACTATAACATAAAAAGTACAGGATTTAATGCACTATATTTAAAAGCAGGTAGGAAAAGATGCATATAAAGTATCAATAGTTTATCACTAGTGATAGAGACTTTAAATACTCCCTTTAGAAATTTCTCCTACCAACTGCTGATTCTTAAATGACCTTTCTGTGAAGGTCAATGTGAAAATGTCTTAATTCATATTCTACCCAAGAGATGCACAGAAGCATCAGACGGATGGGCACTCTCTCCAAGTCATGGTTGCTTGAGGAGGTGGTAGGGCTGAGACATAGGTCTCTAGTCCTAGCTGCAAGACGTATATCCCTCTGCTGACTCACTATCTCCCTCTCATCTAGTTTTTACCAGTGCAATGGATTCATTTCCTGTGTTCCACATCCTGTTTCCTGTACATCTGAAAAAATGTATAAGTCAAGTGAGTGCACAGGAATGACCAGACTCTAAGTCCGTACCTCATCCCTTCCTTTATCTGCCTCTTGCTGTGGCCTCTACAGCTTTACAAAGTCACCTTCAGGCCCTCTATACTAAAGGCCGACTCTGGAGCAGCCCAGCACAGAAGTGAAGCCTCAACCAAAACTGATGGTCTTTAGCTAAGCAAATATCAGCAAAAAATCTGTTTAGTAAATAGGTAAATAGGCTTTCACATTTTCACTTATTGAACACAGTCAGTTTGTCCTACTATTCTGTCCATGTCTTTGAAAAATGATAAATAAGGTCAATTGTCATGTATAATTCCAGAAAGAGTGGCTGTGTTTTTATGTGAGTCCAAGGCATGCAGATGTACAGAGTATCCATATACCAAGGGGAATTTCCCCAAGATTTACCTGCAGTCACTGTCTTGTGAAACAGGATAGGGTTGGCCACAAGGACAAGCAGTAGTGGCAAGTACGTGGTGACATAATGGGGGATGGCATGGTCCAGGCCCCTCTCACACCTAAAAAGAGGAATATCAAAACATTCTCTTTTAAAGAAAAGCTTCAGCTGAGTTGGCCCACTTACCTGGAAGCTGAGATAAGAGGATAGAGAAGAAAGGGAAATACATCAGTCTGCCCTGGCTGTGTCCAAAGGAAATCTGACTCATTTCTCTTGTCTGAAAACAAGTAATGCATTACAGGATGGTGAAGGAGATGGGTCATGTTTCTGTCTCATATATAAGAGGAGTGATATAGCATTTCACTTGGGCAACATTTTAAAGGCCTTCTGAGAAAAAATCAGATGGAACAAGGCTTCTGGAGTGGTGGGTTCTCTGCATTGGGACTCTTCAAGGAAAAAGCCCACACTTCAAGTGGAATATGAGACAAAGGCACCCATTTAAGTACTGGGCTTTGAATACTTGCTCGATGGCCTTGCCCAGTAACATAAAGAGGATCCACTCACTATCCCTGAGCAACTGAGAATCTCAGAATGTAGAAGTTTAAGAATTAAAATAAACTGCGTGTGGTGGTTCATGCCATTAATCCCAAGACTCAGAAAGCAGATGCAGGCAGATCTCTTGAGTTTGAGGCCAGCCTAGTCTACATAGCGAGTTCCAAGACATATGTAACAGAGAGAGACCCTGCCTCAAGAAAGATTTAAAATTAAATATGTTTTCATTATCATGGATAGAAAAGTGTCAGCAGTTCTTTTCAGGGCAACTAATGAGGATTTCTACAAAGTAATCACAGAAATTATTGGTGACTTTAGGATGTAGTGAAAGGCTGTCCACTAATGTTACAAACATAGGAACTGAAGCTGAGAAATGACTCAGAGTTTGAGAGAACATGCTGCTCTTACAGAGGACCTGGGTTCAGTTCCCAGCACCCATATATCACAATCATCAGAGGATCCTGTGCTCTCTTCAGACCTCCTCTGACACCAGGCACACACATGGTGCACATACATATATGCAGGCAAAACACTGATATATATATATATATATATATATATATATATATATATATAATACTTTAATCTAAAAAAGGTAATAACTATCAGCTAAAACAAACCTGATTTAAGACAAGAAAAATGACCGTGAAGTAAGAAATGAAGGCCAAGTAAGATACAGAACAGCTCAGGCATGAAGAGGCCAACAAGCCACTATAACTACTTCTAACAGAAATAATGTTCTTCTTCAGCTTTGAAGACTAAATGTGGTCTAGAGAAAGTCCAGGCCAGTCAGGGAAATAAGGCAGAGAAATAATTCTCACAGGAAGGCAGAAAGAAAATGACAGATGAGAGTGAAGATATACTTAAAGAATGCCCAGGGTTTCAAAACATGGGTAGCACAGAACTAAGAGATAACCATGCATCAAGACTTTAAGTCTAGGTGCTAGAGAAATGGCTCAGCGTTTGGGAGCACTGACTGTTCTTCCAGAGGACCTGGGTTCAATTCCCAGCACCCACATGCCAGCTAACAACTGTCTGTAACTCCAAGATCTGACACCCTCACACAGACATACATGTAGGCAAAGCACAAATGCAAATAAAGCAAATTTTTTTTTAAAAAAAAAAAGGCTTTAAATTTTAGCCATCTGCCAAAGGCATTTGAGCACCCAGGGACTCCTTGCAAGTCCTGAATCAATGGAACTTTCGGGCTCAATTTTTTTCTGGGAATTTCCAGGTCCCAGAGGGAAGCACACAAGAAAAGAAAGGATTTCCAGTTAAGAGTATTCTATTATAATAGCTATAACACTGTTGCCTGTCCTTTATAAGTTTTCCAGAAAGCAGACTATACATAGAGTGGACCTGCACAGAGCTCCCTACAAATACACATAGTTGACAAGGTTGTAATGGTTTAAATGAGAAATGTCCCCAGTAGACTCAGGTATTTGAACAGTTGGTCCCCTGTTAGTAGTGTTGTTTAGGATATGGTGTGCAGCTTTGCTGTAGGAACTATGTCACTGGAAGTGATCTTTGAGAGTTCATAGCCTTGCCCTACTTCCAGTTCATTCTCTTTGTTTTGTGTCTGTGGTTGAAGATGTGATCTCTCAGCTTGCTGATCCTGCAACCATGGCTGCCACTTGCTGTCATGCATCCCTGCCATGTCTCTGGAAGTGAAAGCCCAAATAAACTCTCCCTTCCAAAGTTACCTTTCATCACAGTGTTTTATCATAGTAACAGAAAAGTAATTAATAAGCAAGGAAATACCAAAGTAGAGACAGACATCCAACAAAGAGACTCAAAGTAGTCAAAAAAAACTTCTACACTACGGGCCAGCAAACGTGTCCTGTACAAAGACAGATGGTTCATATACTTCAACTTCGTGTCTGTTGCAACTTCTGAATTCTGTCTCTGTAAAGCAAAGGCAGCTACAGACAGCACAGAAGCAAGTATGGTTGTGTTCCAATAAAACTTTATCCATAGGCAAAGGGTAAGATTTTTCAGGAGGGCTCTGCTGTGCTGAGCCCTGGTTTACACATTCTTAAAATCACAGAGACACTGTCTTACTTCTGTCAGCTTTCCACTCCAATTTAGAATGTTCATCCTTAGGCCTTGAGGTTTTATAAGTATCTGCATTTTGGGGGAGGGGATGGATCTCAAGACCTCAAGCATGTTGGAAAATTTTCTACCACTGAGTTACCTTCCCTAGGTCCCTTATTTTTTTTCCAGTTGGATTTATGTAGACAGTTTTTCATTCCCTATTAGAGATGTACCAGGGATCTGGGCACTATATTTCTGGGTTTCCTGGCTTACCTGGACACAGAAGGGTAGTAAAGCATGACTGCCCCCTCCACACAGAGCAGCACAGCCAGGCCCCAGGCCATGATGTGGTACAGCAGGATGGTGCTAGGAGAAAACAGAAGAGAGGTGGCCACAGTTCAGAGGGCCACAGGCCTGCCCAGTGGAAAAGACCCGATTAACTTCCTGTGCTGTTGGTGAGGGGGTTTTTGGGTTTAGGTTTTTATTGATTTTTTTCAGTTAAAGTGAAATTCATATCACATAAAATTTGTTCTTTGCACATTCACAGTGTTGTTCAACCATCACGACTATCTAGTTCCAAAACATTTGATCACCCCCAAAGACCTCATTCACCTTAGCAGTCACTATCATTCCTTCTCACCCTGGGAGCCACTAATATGGCTGTGGAATTATCTGTTCTGGATATTCAAACAGATGATGCCACATTGACTGACTTTGTGCACGGTTTTCATTATACAGACAGACCCCATTATGTTCTTTCATACACCCACCAATGGAAATTTAGACTGTTTCTATCTTTTGGCTGCTAAGAATAGTACTGTTGAGAACATGAGTTTCTGTTTTCAATTATTTGGTGTGTGTGTGTATGTGTGTGTGGGGGTGGGTGTGGGTGTGGGTGTATGTGTGTGTGTGTGAAATTTCTGGGTTAAATAGTATTTTCATGTTAAGCCTGTGTACATCTTCATCAATGGCAGTCAGTTGCTCTATGACTAAGCTGCACCCCAGCCACTTCATATTTAATTTTGAAGGAAACAAATTCTCTTTGCCTTTGACAACAGTGAACACTACATCTTTCTTTCTTTCTTTCTTTCTTTCTTTCTTTCTTTCTTTCTTTCTTTCTTTTTGGTTTTCCAAGACAGGGTTTCTCTGTGTAGCTTTGGAGGCTGTCCTGGCACTCACTCTGGAGACCAGGCTGGCCTCTAACTCACAGAGATCCGCCTGCCTCTGCCTCCCGATTGCTGGGATTAAAGGCGTGCACCACCAACGCCCTGGCATACGCCATTCTTTTTTTTTTCTTGGTTTTGGTGTGTGTGTGTGTGTGTGTGTGTGTGTGTGTGTGTGTGTTTGTGTGTGTGTGTGTGTGTTAAGAAACAACAAAAGGTGGGAGCTCACTATGTTGTTCAGAGTGGCCTTGAACTCCTGAGTTCAAGTAATTGTCTTGCTTTAGCCTACAAGTGGCTGCAACTATGGTTACATACCATTATGTAACTCCAGCTCTGATGACAGCCATCCTAATGAGGGGGTGACTGCTATTTCTGAGACACATTCTCAACAACAAAAAAAAACATAAGAGAAACAATCCATATGTAGACATTTTCAGAAAGCACCATCCAGCTCTCATCTGTTATGATTTGACTGTCACCAGGAAATTCTATAAAGTGACAGTGTTAAGACATGAAGCCTTAAAAAATAAAAGTGGAGCCTTCTGAAAAGTGTTCAATTTTGTTGTGTAATTAGTTGGCCCAGTTGCTTTGACCCTGTGTTAATACATTATGGTGATAGTATATGGCACAGTGAAATCACTCTCTGCATGGACAGGAAGCAAAAGACAAAGAAGGCAGGGCCATGGGTCCATGATCCCCTTGCAGGACAGGCCTCAGATGACCTGAAGACTTCTCACTAAGTCACCCCTTAGAGGTTCTACCACTTCCCAATTGTACTCCACTACAACTAAGCCTTAACAAAGGAACTTTTGAGGAACAAACAAGATGCAAACTGCAGCAGTCAAACTCTTGGGGCACAATTCTCATGCCTTTTGACCCTCCATACCCACACTTGTGCTGTACACCATAACATGTTCGTGGAGGTAAGAGGACAACTTGTGGGATCCAGTTCTCTCCTTTCCAGGAATCAGACCCAGGTCATTAAGGCTGATGGCAAGTGCCTTTACCCACTGAGCCATCGTGCTATCTAAGCCATTTTGTGGCATATATTTCTTCTTTCTAAAGACTTATTTTTATTCATTTTATTTCATGTGTATATGTGAGTGCCTGCATATATCCATATATACCACAAGCATGCCTAGTGCCCTGCGAGGACCCTAGAACTAGAGTTATAGGTGGCTATAAGTTACATGGAACAGTAATAGTATGATGAACTTCAATTTTCAGTGGCCAAATGTTTATGGAACAAAAGCTGTAGACACAGAAAATTCAAAGAACAAAGCAAGTCCTTTTAATGAATAGGAGGCTACAATTTCAAGTGGATGGCATATAAAACCCCTCATAAGAATCATACAAGTAATTGCACCCCCTAAACACTAACTAGGGAAACAGGAACAGAGACTGAGAAATCAAGTTCAAAGCTGTGATTGTCCAAAGCAGAGACTAAGTTTATAATTTAAGTAGCTGAACAGTGTGGTAGCCAGAACAAGGTCCCAATTGATGTCCATGTTCTGATGTCTAGAATCTGGAAGTAGTAATGATTTCTGAGGGGAGCTCAGTTTATATTATCAAAGTGGCCCAATATAATCATAGGAATCCATAAAAATGCAGGTACTTTGGGCTAAAATACATAGAGCCATACCCCTGTCTCAAAATAGATAGATAAATAGATAGATAGATACAGACAGACAGACAGACAGACAGGTAAGCCAAGCAGTGGTGACACACACCTTTAACCCCAGCACTCTGGCAGGCAGAGGCAGGTAGATCTCTGTGAGTTTGAGGCCAGCCTGGTCTACAGAGTGAGTTCCAGGGCAGTCAGGGATACAAAGAGAAATACTGTTCTGAAAAGCCTAAATAAATACATAAATTGTAGAACTAGAGGGATGGCTCAGCATTAACAGCTCTGGCTGCTCTTCCAGAGTACTCAGGCTTGATTCCCAGCACCCTCATGGCAGCATCCAACCATCTGTAACTCAGATCCCATGGCATCCAAAACCTTATTCTAACCTCTGCAGGCATATGGTGCACAGAAAGACATGCAAGCAAAAATTCCATACATAAAAAGAAATAAAGCTAAAAAATTCAAGAGACAATAAAGTGTTAAAATTTAAAACACTAAAATCTAGAAAAGAAAAAGGGGCTCAATTTTAAACGGGGGTGTGGGAAACGAGAGAGATGCTTCAGTTAAGAGCACTATACTGCTCTTGCAGAGGACCTGAGTTCAGTTCCCAGTACCCTTGTCAGACACCTTCACAAATGTCTGTAATTCTAACTCTAGGAGATGCAGATAATGCCCTCTTCTGACTTTTTCAGGTACTTGCAATCACATTCATAAGTCCACATACAGATACAGAAACATACACATAATTAAAAATAAATAATATATAAAAGGGGGATAAATATCTTGGGTGAAAATCAAACAAAGGGTGCAATCTGAAGGCTCAAACAGAGAAGCTGTGTCACAGGACCTGGTGAGGATTAGACATCCCAAGTTCTACAGACAAACCTGAGGGTTTTCTTTTCTTCCTCCCTCCTCTGCACTCCCCATTCCCTGCATAGTTCACATTCCTACCATATCCCTCCTTTATCTTTATGCTTGTATATACCCACCCAGTCCTACCCTTGTCACCCAATCCCCTAGATTTTAGGACATGGCCTCCCAGAAGCTGCCAGTAACTCTGTAGAGCCACACAAAGCCAGCTGATTCCATGGAGCAGTGGACAGCATTCAAAGGATGCTTCTTTGCAAATGGGTGGGCATGTTGGGCTCCATCAGTCACACACACACACACACACACACACACACACACACACACACGTGCGCGCGCGCATGCACACTGTCAGTCAAGATTTAGCTGGATACCTAGCAAATGGCACCCCAGGTCCAATTGGAATTCTGACTTTGAAGATCAGCTATATGAACAGAAAGCGTGCATCAGCACAGGAAAACAGGACCTACACTAAGCAGGAAAAGAAGCAGTGGCTGGCACACAAAGCTTCTAGAGAAAACCAGTTTGTGCCAGCTGTCTGGGAGAGCACAAGGAAATGACTCCAGCATATTTTGTCTCCCCCATTGTAACCAGTTCCTGGAGTATCCTTCCCCTGGCCTCACAGGGACAGGAAGCTGTGGGAGAGAGTGTCAGTAATGTGAGGATTGCCAGAGGTCTAGGCTATATGGAGGAGACTCAGCTACCCCAGAGCAACTCTTTCTGCCAGGAGCCGTATTGTCAGTGACAGCAGAATCTGCTCATTCCACTACACCCTCCCCTCATTTGGGGCCACACTGGATGCATTTACAGAGTGGGGAGTGAGCCGTCCAGGAGGCAAGACCAACCAAGTCCAAGGCTGGAGGTCACTGAAGCCTGGGCAAGTGGTTCTTCCTCCTGAGCATCAACAGTCATATATGGGCCACAGGATACAGGCATATTAATGACCCAGTAAAGTTATGAGCCTGCACCCCAACTCAGTGGCAACTCATGGCAGTCAGACCATAATTGAACCCCCTCATACTTTTATCTGAATGCTAGATGGTTTCCAACTACAGGCATATGTAAATCCCCACACAAACTTCCTGCAGCCCACACTTTCATTTCGTTTTGCAAGCCCCATCTAATATTGTTTTGAAACCTGTATATTCCACATTAGGAGGGAGTTACAGTGAAAGTTGAAATTTAAACTTTACATCTATCTTAATAACCTTTCTTGGGATGGGAATTAAAGGAGAAAATATTCCCCTGCCTGCCAAAGAAAGCAGGTAAGTGCTGACCAGATCTCAAAGGACGTGTGAAGTTTAGCCAGCCCTGTTTGCCAAGTTGGGTCCCTGCCCTAGAATTCAGCAGGATACCTCTCCCCATGATCCTCAGTCTCTCAGCTACACCTACTATACAGGAAACCAGCAGCCTCTTCAAAGAGGGAAGTCACACTCCCAGCTCTGGCTCATTCCTGCCAGTGAGGCCACACCCACAGGTTCCCAAGGCTCCAAGAAGGACTTGTACCAGGCACCAGAAACTGAGTATCTTTGTTACCTCTACTGTGTACCTGGTTTCTCTATGATGGGGAGCCCATTTCATTCCTCACAGGCACATACCTTTTGTTTTTTCAAAAAGTCTTAATTTTTGTTTGTATTTATTTGGTTTTTTTTGTTTCGTTTTTATACCCCTACCATCATTTCCCCTACCTCCTCTCTTTCCAGTCCCTCCCCACCACCTCCTCACTCCCCTTCTTCCTTTTCTCTTCAGAAAAGGGCAGGTCTCCCATGGATATCAACCAGCCGTGGAATATCAAGTTGCATTGAGACTAGACACCTCCTCTCCTATTAAGGCTGAATGAGACAACCGGGTAGAAGGAAAGGGTCCCAAAAGCAGGCAGCAGAGTCAGAGACAATCCCTGCTTCCACTCTTAGGAGTCCCACAAGAAGACCAAGGAACACAACTGGAACATATGCTTGAAACTTGTCCTTGTTCTTGCCCTTGTAAAACTTCCGGGGCGTCACATCCCATGCATTAACTTTCTACATGATAGCTTATCTTGAGAAACCACACTCTTCCCAGAACCATCACCCTGCCTGCTAAAATGAATGTTTACTTCATAATTAATACCAAAGCCCCTGAGTAGCAGGGGACAGGATGGGAGCCCAGGTGATAAACAGAGCATAAATCAGTGTGGGATGACATGGAGTGAGGGGGCTCTCACTTCCAAATCTTCCAAATGTCTGTTCTCCTGCCCCTTTTTAAGTTTATTTTGGTTTGGCCACTGGAATTGAACCCAGGGTCTTGAGTACATATGTTCTTCACTTGAACTTACCAGCAGCCCCTAACTACTTAATTTCCCAAGTCACTTATTTGTAAGGTTGTAAGAATCTTGTTGTTTTGAATTTGCCATTGGTATCTTATAAAATTTGAACACTCAGAAAGCAGAGGCAGGATTCTAGGTTCAAGGGAAGCCCCAGAGTAAGATCAGGTGTCCAAAAGAAATGTTACTATAAAAATGAGCAAGCATAAATATTTCTGGATGGAAATCCAATTGGCAGGCTGATGTATGGTGTGAGCCACACTGCAAAAACCTTTGAATGCCCAATAGCAGGTCCAAATTTTACTCACAAAAGCAGAAAAGACATCCCTGTTCATATTCCCAGTGAAAATACCTCAGTCCTGCTGATCGCCTCATCACCAAGTACACATCAACTGCATAGCAGAAGAGCCACCAGAGGCAAGCACTGTACAACAGCTGGATCCACATCTATAATCAAGAGGAGCTTAGCATCAAAGATTCTAACAGCATGCAACTCACGCCTGAAATGATGGGAAGACATGGGTTTGCCTGACAACATGGAGGAGCTATCCCATGTGGACACATTCTCTGAAACTCATGGTGGCTGTGACCCAGCCACCACTATATAGACAGAGGACAAATATATATATATTTGTCCTCTGTCTATATAATTGGATTTGATGTAGCAACTCTGTCTCTGGTGTGCTCACAGAAAAGGCACATAGAGATCCCTGATGCCAAGTTTACTGTGGTTTAAGGTAAAAGCTCTGTTGTGAGAAGGTGTGGGCCTGAGAGACTTGGAAAGCACTTGAGTAGAAGGGGATGACAAGAGCAGAGTCTGGGTTGCAGCATAAAGTCAATGTGTCTTACTAAAGTTGGTTAAGACGGGGGCATTATTGGAATGCAGTTAGGAAACCATAGAGTGTAAAGGGAATTAAGCAGGGAATTCTGTAGAGGAACTGAGACTCCACATAGCATTCATGCCTTCTACACAACATTCCTATCAGGGTCAGTGCAATGCAAGAAGCCTAGCATGATTCTCTGTATGGAATATGTGTATTTACTAAACGCTTTATTTATACAAAAAATTTCATATGGAATATTTAATGTATATTGAAATTTATTTTGTTTAGAAAACCACACGAATCTGCCTGCCTTTCTCTGTAGCTGGCTTTTATTGGGGCTGTGTATTCATCATGGAAAAGGTGTAGGGGTGTGTGTGTGTGTAAGGCCAAGGCTGAGGCACTGGACGGGGCCATTTTCAGATTTGTGTGTCCATCTGTACCCCAGGTAGATTTGGCTTCACACTGACTCCTGGTCCTTAGGTCCAGAGCATGACCTGACAATTGCATTCATCACAATTCCCAGAGTTTGCTATGCTGACTCAGAAGACCACCACTTGGAGGGTGAACAAAGGCAAATAACTCACCGCACTCCCCACACAGAAAGCAGCAGGCCAAATGTCCGTCCCATTCACATTAGAGATGTTTTCAACAAAATCTGGGTATGCTATCCACACCGTGGACCTGATAACGATTCCTGTATGAGAATTAGACAGGAAAAACCTATTTGATTTGAATTCAAATCTGAAACAAGCTGCTTGTTTTGTGGGATATAAAAAAAGAGAAAAGAGATGAAAGAGAAAAACAGACATATTGGTGTTTAACAATAAAGAGGAAACTAAAGGCTGATTGTTATTTTCAGAGTTGTCCCAGACACTTCAGCGTGGTGCTATCAGTGTCTAGTCAAACCATAAGCAGGACTAGCATTGTTCCTGTTTTGTTTGGTGACAGGGAATTACAGCCCCACTAGCAGATCTGTATTTTTCACTTGTATCTTTTAATATCCCTGTTACTTACTTATCATATAAGGAGCATATGTACTACTATGTAACACATGACTTCACACACATGTACTGAGTAATTTTACTACTGAAGGATTAGTGTGGTCCCTAAACTCTTAAGCCATATCTTCTAATTATCAAGTCACTGCTAATAAAATATAATAGCTTTTCTGAAAAGTACTTTGTAATTGCCAGCAATCTAGCACTCTGGATACAGGAGGAGTGAGGGATAGTGGTGCCAGCCTGTGACCACAGCACTCAAGAGGCAGTAGCAGAATTAGCTTTCCATAAATTCACTATGACCACATAATGAGCTTGTCTTCAAGAACTAAAACTGGGCCAGGCGTGGCAGTGAGATGACCACTCATATTTCATATCTTTCAGAAGGGCCAATCCCTCCCTGGCTTCTGTCTCATGTCTAAAACCTCATCTACCTGATTTTTTGAAGGATAGGGTTCTTTTGCTAGTCTTCAAGATATTTAGGTAGATCTTTATTTGGAAATATTCAAGTTACAGGACTAAATTATTATTGATACCTATTCTGAGAACATACTTAAGGAATCAAGGAAATCCCAATTTAATTGAGTTATCCTGCACCAAAAATGATTCATTCCTAATGGAAGGGAAATATGTTTTCCTGTCTTGGTCTCCAAAGGGGAGAAAGTGATTTGGGATTACAGAGTATTCGTGTGAACTCAAACTCTTCAGCATCTCCAATCACGTTTTTGTGACTCTTGGCAATGGGATAAAACAGGTCTGGACCTTGGCACACTAAGCTACCTGTATCCAGGGACATTCTCAAGGAGAAGCACACAGGAAAATGAACACAGGCCACACAACCCTTACCTCAAGGACAAACAGTAATGATTGAAAACTGCAGTTACCACGTGGACAGCACCATCAGAAAATGACAAGTCATAGACATAGGATTTGGGGCTTATTTTAACAGTCCCACTATCACAGAGCATTTAGGAGAAAAGTGAAAACAATTTAATGATATGGAGAACATTTTTGATTATTTAAAAGTACAAGTTGCATTGGTCTTAACTGCACAAAAAAGTTTTAGTTTTGGGTGCTTTGTACTAGAAACTAACAGAAATGCATTAAGTCTAGGATTTGCTTCCAATTAATCCAGCCAGGAGTGAGAAAAAGGAGAGTGCTGCAAATGCGGGGAGGGGGGCATCTGGGGATTCAGGATATTTCTTTATAATTACAGACTACCTCCACGCATACTGGATGATTTCCACACTAAGCAGATAAAATAAAAAGTCTATTTCGAGTTCAGCAACATGCATTATGCTCTAGTTGAAACAGGATATTGGCAAATTCATTCTGTTAAGGGCCAGGTAGTTACTGTTTTTGTGGGCCACAGTGTCTATTTCCAACCTTCTACTCTGCCTCAGCAGGGCTAAGAGGGTCTCAGATCTGTAGCAAACGCTGAGCAGTGCTGTATTCCTACACAACTGTATGGAAATCCACGCAGCACTCACATGCCTTTTTATCTTCTCTGGGATGTTAAGAACATTTAAAAATTTGTGTCATTCTTAACAAGAATCACTGAACATGCACCAGATAGAACTTTGTATACCTGAGATTCAAAACCATACCGAGGGGCCCGAGATAGAGCGGCTTGGTGGAACTTTTACCCAGCATGCACAGGGCCTGGTGATTTCAACAACAGCTCAAAAGATAGGACTTTCAGATTGAAAACAAACAACAACAGCAGACACATAGGAAAGAACATGGGCACAGATGGTGTTGACTGTTTCTCCTTGTTGAATTAACTAACAACTCGCTTTAGTTTTGTTACTTTGTTTCTGGATTTTAACTGCACAGTCTGAAGTTTCCTAAATAAGCTCCACTAACAAACACAACACGATACTTTTGTTATAAGTTCCAGACTTTAATTTTATCAAGCACTCTCAGAATTCTCTAATACTACCCAGTCACCAAGTAAATAAATCCAGCCCTGCTCTGGACACAAGGGCTAGTCACACACCTCAGAACACTTAGTTGTTCCCAAACCTGGACTTGCCCCTGGGACCATACATCCTGGCCAGAGCACGTCCCAACTAGTGGATTAGGTACTATCCTCAAGCGAGAGCAGATCCCTTTGTGTAGAAACATGCACATTCCACCTTGTGAGCTGCATATTCCAGCTCCAAAAGGAGCTAGCTGCACTCCCTTACCCAGGCAGCCAAGAAAGTCGCAGGCAGTGGCAGCGCGGAGGATGTGGACTGAGGCCGGTGGGCATGTCGCAGGTGCCCTGTGACCAACAGACCTGCGCCCTAGCAGGAGCTGAAGGAGGCCAAGCACCAGGCGGAGAGTGCCGCTGCCCAGGCATAACGCATGGAACAACCGCGGTTGGAAGCTCAGCACCAGTTGCGTGGCTGCGTCCCTCGTAGGGCAGCAGAAGATTCCCAGGCGTGGGGAGGCCATTAATGTTGCTCAGGGACAGGTCTCCGTTCTGCAGAACCCAAAGCTTTTCCTGGTCAGGTGCTGGGCTGGCAAGGGAAGTTGAGCATCATGTGCCTTTGCCTCTCCCCCACCCCAGCCCCTTAGGCTGCAAAAGTGCCTGGCTCCGTGGGGGCGGTGCGCCTTCCTCAAAGGCCACGAGGTCTCACGAGGAGGCTAATGCTAGAACTTCAGAGGGAGGGATGGGGGAGGGGTGCCAGAGGTCTTCCCTGTACCCTGCCCCCCTCCCCGAACCTACGGCCCCAACCTGCCATTTTCCCTTAACTGGTCTCCCTGGAGAGATATGTCTTACTGAGAGACAACTTATTCAGGTTCATCCACTAAGACTCACTCCTTTGAATACATCTCTCCTAAACAGAAACAGTCTCCACATCCTACTTTCTCTGTGGTCCTGTCCCATGGAAACAAACCCACAGGGACCTTCAAATTAAAGACATCTTTAATTCCAGCACTTTGGAGGCAGAGGCAGGCCATCTCTATGAGTTCACATCCACCATGGTCTACATAGTGAGTTCCATACCAACCAAAGCTACACCAGTGAGATCCTATCTCAGGAAACAAAAACAAAAACCAAATAAACAAACAATCCACCCTCATGCACCAAATAAAACTAAATGAATCACCAGTGCCAACTTCATGGGTTTTGCTCTTATGTTTTTGAGACAGGGTCTGACTATGTAGACCAGGCTGACCTCAAACCCCCAGAGATCCATCTGTCTCTGCCTTCAGAGTAGTGGTATTAAAGGACTGTGTTACCACCCAAGGCCAACTAACACCTATGTTCATAGATGGTGAAACAGGACATGGGTGATTACCAGAGGGCTGGGAATTTTCCAACATTTAGAGTTTTAGTGTAGCCAGGTGTAGTGGCCTATGCCTTTAATCCCAGGCCTTCTGAGAGGCAGAGGCAGAGGCAGGTAGGACTCTGTGAGTTTGAAGCCAGCCTGGTCTATATAATGAGTTCCTCAACTGATAGGGCTACAGAGATGTCTTGTCACGATTTTTTTTTAAAGAAAGTATTACTTACTCTAGGGCTCCTCCTTAAATCCCACCTTGCAACTGGTAGGCCAGAGCCCATTTACAAGCCCCACTCCACTCAGGCCTTGTCCCTCTTAAGAGCTCTTGATACCTATCACTCAAATTGTCACAAGGTGTACTAACAATGGTGTTTACTTGTTCTCTCCACATACCCCTTTACACAACAAGCTCCACAGGACAAGGCACATGGCTTGGATCATACCTGTATTCTCTCTGTGACTGTGATGGGAAATCCAGAAAATTTCATAGTTGAACCATATGCAGAGATGTTTCAGGCGGAAACAGCATTGTGCAGAAAATATCCACAGGGCCAGAACAGTATTTCTAACCTCTTTCATTATGCCAGAAAAACGACTTCATGTTTCTGTTTATGTAATGCACACAGTGAAATGATATCAATAGTATTAAAACAAATAATTGATGTTATATTGAGATTGGTTTTTATGTGTATGGGTGCTTTGCCTGCATGTGTATCTGTGCACCATGAGTGTGCTTCACACTCGTGAAGGCCAGAAGAGGGAATCTATTAGACAGATGTTACAGATGGTTGTGAGCTGATATATGGGTGCTGGTACTGAATCGGGATACTCTGAAAGTACAGCAAGTGCTCTTAACTGCTGAGCCATTTCTCCAATTGCTACATTAGGATTTTAAAAATATCTGCATTTCAAAATTATTCTCAACTTGATTAATACTTTTTAATTCATATTTAATCAATATCTATACTGTATAAATGTTCAGCTATAAGTGTATCTGCAATTAAATATTATGCTTATGTTTTAATTTAATTCTCTGTGATGTATACAGTATATAGAAGGCACCAGTTCCCCTTAGGATGAAGGCAAAGGTTACAGGATCCATTGAGTAGAGGTGGAATATCTTAGGCTCCCTTGTGTAAATCTTCTTGGACAGATAGGGAAGGCCATAGCTCCCCTTAGGCTGAGAAGGAAGACCTGAGATCACCTGGGTCAAAGAGGACTTCAGAACAATCCAAAAGCAGCCTGGGTGACCAACAAGCTAGTGAGAAGTCCCCTGCTAGGTTTCCTCCTCAGGCTTCTGCTCAGATACTCATGAATGGAAATAAAAGACAGGGCCAGCTTGAAAGCAGATGATCTAGACACTGTTTGCTCCTTTTGTAGTCTGGGACCTCAATCCAAAGCAGTCCACCCCACTTCTCTTTTCCTTTACTGCACTGGCTCAGCTCCTTTAGCACATTCCGTTTAATCGCATCTTGGAGCTGGACAATTAAGCAGGCTGTCTGGACCCAGAGAGTCAAAGATTTGGCCTCTCATAGGCCTCTGGGATCCAAGGAAATCCTTAGCATTTTTTTCTGCTGGCTCATAAGCAAAGGTGTGCTCCTTGACCAGATCTGTCCTGAGGTACATCCTCTAGGAAGCCTCGGGGGCTGGTGTCTTCCATGTTAGCCATGTTCTTAGGACTCTGATGTTACGATACAGATTTATACTCTGAGGATTGCTGACATTGTTGGAGGGGAAACTCCCAAGACCTGACTGATGGCTGTGCTTGGTGTACCAGCAAAGCTACATGAGGCATTCAGGAACCTCTGTCCTTAGGTCTCACATGGGCCAGATCCATGCCTGCAGACACAAGGCACAATGGCAGCCATAGGCACCTGATGCTCTCTGAATAACTTTGGATAGTCAGGAACTTTTGTTCTCAGGTTGATCACAGGCTATGCCAATGCTTGCTGACATAAGGCCATTTATGGGGACAGCAGTATCTGCAGGTGCCCCATGTGGTATGGATGACAAGCAGTATACAGGAGGACCCTGTGACCTCAGGATCTGCATTGGCAAGGCCCCCAAGTGCTGACACAAGGTCACTATGGATGACAAGGAATATTCATCCTTTGTCCTTCCCATTGTCTTTCCAGACACTGAGCTCTGAGCAAAAATCAACCTGTCTTCATACACCTGACACTGACATAACAGGCACAAAATAGAAGTTACTACATATAACTGTTGACAGAAGGTGTCAGCTTTCATCATAATATCAGATGCCTTTAAAGGAAAAATAACTACTCTTCAGTAAGATGGTTGACATATGTTGCATCATTGTCAGATGGATGTCCATGCCACTTTTCACATTTTTTACACACACTCTGGATATGTAGCCCAGGCTGGCCTGGAACTTCTGAACAATACTCCTGGCTCATCCTCCTGAGGACAGGAATTATAGGCATGCAATCACTCATTAGTATCATGTAATTGTATTATCAATTTTTGCAATTTAGCCTTTAATTAAATAGCAATATTATCCAGGGTTTGTTTTAGCACTAGAATTCTTGCTTATTTAATAGGGCTGTCTTTAATTCTCAGTCTTTATCTATTCACACAGATGACTTCCTATGTCAACAACATCAAATTCAAGATTCAGCAAAAGACTGTGTGCAGATTATCAAGTCTGAGTGGTAAGGGTGGTAAGAGCTTAATGAAAAAAATGACAAAAAGATATGATTTCATCTGGGCCACTGTTTTGAGATGCAGGGGAGGGTCAGCATTTGACGAACAGCAATTAGATCATTGGCACAGCCCACTCTGATAAATTCTATTTAGAAGCTGATTCCTCAATCTAAGGATGGTTCCCAACTAAGAGATTTTGAAAACGTATCTTGAAGGATGTTGTTATCTTTAAGAGATAGTTTCATGATAGAAGGTACTTTTCACACATAGTGATAGATAACAATGTCACCAGAGGGAAAAGTCTATTGCCATTGGTTATGGACTTCTTATAGTGTGGTCATGTATGCTTTCCCCACAATATCTATAATGTAAGTTTTGAACTCTCCAAACTATCCCCCATCTGGCTAACTCGGATGGAAGTTTCTCCTTTTCTCAGTCAAGAAGCTTGTTGTTGCTGGGGCCATGGCTCACACCTTTAATTCCAGTACTTGGGAGGCGGATGCAGGTGGATCTCTGAGTTCGAAGCCAGACTGGTCTACAGAGTGAATTCTAGGACATCCAGGACTATGCAAAGAAACCCTGTCTCAAGAAACAAAACAAAACATCATCTTGGACTTTAGCCACTATGTTGAGGCTTCACCTTCATCATTGCCACTCTCCAATTTCAAGGTCTTGTGTTTCTAGACATTTAATATATCATGGGTCCAGGTCCTATAGATTAGATCTACTACTGTGGCTCTAAAAACTGTCATCTCAACAGAGACACCAAAGGAGTCTTCTCACCCACTGGGGATGTGTTCCTAAATCCCTGTACCTTCCTGCAACCACAGGCACTTCTGGAATATCAATCTATCTGATGATTTTTCCCATACATGAATGCCTATGATAAACTTTAGTTTATAAAGTAGGCATAAGAAGATATTAACATGCAATTATGACAATGTTAATAATAAAAGTTATGTGATTGTGGTCTCTTGAAATATTGCATATGTGTATTTGGATTTCACGGTAACTGAGACTACAGAAATGGAATCATTACATACGGGTAGACTACTATTTTAGAGTATTGTTTGTACAGGTTTCTTAGGGGTTTCTTTTGCTGTGAAGAGACACCATGACCATGGCAACTCTTGTAAAAAGTAAAACATTTAATTGGGGTGGCTTTCTTGCAGTTTCAGAGGTTCAGTCCATTATAATCATGGCAGGGAGCATGGTGGCATGCAGGCTGATGTGGTGCTGGAGGAAAAGCTGAGAGTCCTATATCTTGCAGGCAACAAGAAGTAGACTATCACACTGAGTGAAGCTTGAGAAAAAGACCTCAAAGCCCACCCTCACAGTGACACACTTCCTTCAACAAGACCACACCTACTCCAACAAAGCCATACCTCCTAATAGTGCCATCCCCTTCCCTGGACTTTTTCCCTCAAACCACCAAAATATGAACAGTCCTTCATAACCTGACTGACATTACTGGGGAACTTCTGTACTCATTAAAAGATTTCT